TCATCAATATCTAGGCTCTCACACTGGTTCATCTTCATCTATAAAGCCCTCCTTGGTCTGCTACCTTCTTATATCTTTTCCCACATGTCATGCTGTCAGTGCAGTTAAAACATGCGCTCTCAGGCCATCATTACCTGCAGCGCTCCTATAGTCCGGACTGAACTTTGCAAAAAAGACTTCCTACTCTGCTTGCTCCTGCGACCTGGAACACCTTGCAACAGGAACTGAAGCTGTCCACCCTAATTTATTTAAGGAGTTTCCAACATTTGATAATTTCAATAGAAAAATCAAAGCAAAATATGTTCTTGTTTTTAGTATTTCACCTTGTTTTATGACACCCTGATTTATTGTTTTATACACTACTCTTTATTTTATTTTTTATTTTTTTTCATTTACCCTTTATTTATCCAGGTGGTCTCATTGAGCCACGAGAACTCATTTCCAAGAGAGACCTGTTTAGGGAGCAGATGGTGGGGGTTAATGGCCTTGCTCATGGGCCTAGAGTGGGGCGAATGAGGGTGGAGGGAGGTGTGGGTGTTTCACCTTTTCCACCCACATTTTGATGTTGATGGTACCAGGAGGTGAACCTGCGACTTTCCGATCACAAGCCCATCTTCTAACCTCTGCGCCACCACTCCCCCATTTTAACTTCATTTTTACTGTAGTTTATTGATGTCATTTTTTACTGACTACTACTGTAGTCTGTACTTTATATGTTCTGTGTGGAACAGGTCCCTCTTGTAAATGAGTCCTTGTGGCTCAATGAGGCTAGTCTGTATAAATAAAGGTTGAATGAATGAATGACCCCCACTCCTGTTTAAATATGGACAATTTATTTTCACAATGATGTCTTCCTTCGATCCTCTCAAACCATCATTCCTTTCTACCCAGGATGTGAACATCTTCATCCCTGAACGAGTGACTGCTGACCTGGAGATGAGTGTAGACCACAGAGTCCAGGTCTTATGCTCTTCTGTGCTGCTCCATCCTTTTGGCCAGTGGCTGTTTAGTTTCCCCGATGTAAGACTGATCACCCTTCTGACACTGAACAGCATACACAACATTACTCTGTTTGTGCCGGGGGACTGGATCTTTGGGATGAACCAGTCTTTGCCGTAATGTATTTTGGGGTTTAAAAGCCACTGGGATGTTATGTTTAGAAAATAAACGTCTCAGTTTCTCTGATACTCCTGCAATATACGGAATGAAATCATTCCATATGTTGTAAAATTACAACAATACAAAGTCAATGATTCTGTATCATTACCACAATTATACAGAATCGTTCTGTATGTTGTAATATTGTGTATGCTGTTCAGTGCCTGGAGGGATGTGATCAGTCTTACATCTAGGAAACTAAACAACCACTGGCCTAAAGGATGTACCAGCATCCTTTCATGCTTTCCTTCCAGCATATTGTGAATAGCAAGTGTCCATTGTTAGGCTGATGTTCTTCCTTTTGCACGTGAACTGCTATTTCTGGCTGTCAGTATTAGACTGGTTGGTCCACCATGAACATTGTTAGGGTGCTAACAACAACAACAACCTAGCTCCATCTTAAATTCAAGATCTTATTGTTCCATACTTTCCCAACAGAGCACTTCATTCTTTACTGCAGGCTTACTTGTGGTTCCTAGAGTTTCCAAAAGCAGAATCGGAGGAACATTTTTCAGTTATCAAGCTGCTGTCTTGTGGAACCAACTTCCAGTTTCTGTCCATGAGGCTGACACATTGTTTAGTTTTAAGACTGGGCTTAAGATGAAGACTCAAAGTCTTTCAGATGAAAGATGAAACGTTTCTACACGTTTTTTTTAACCCATCCAGAGGACTTGACTTAACCTTGTTGGATTTATCTACCTGGATTATTGAGCATGCATCAGGACACATTTTTTGTAAATTTGTCTTTCTAAAAGGTCCTCATCCTTTTGAATCTAAGTCAAACCCTGGGCTGTACTTTTCTACTCTAGGAAAAGAAATCATTAGGAATCCAGAAGGCATTTGTTATTAGGAGAGGATTCTGAGCAACTTGTCATCAGGGAAGTGCTCCAGATAACTTTCCCTGGCAAAGTGACAGTGTGTAATTCAGGATGCTCTGACCAAAAAAAAAAAAAAAAAAGCTAACATCATCAGGAGAGAACAAATATTAAAGTGCCACCTGTCCACTAGACTTACAAAAAAAAGTGTTACGGTTCATTTGTGCATGAATATTTATCCTGACATATTATTATACTGTTGTACACACTTCAGAGTTCGCTGGTGTTTTTATTATATTGTGTAGAAGTCTTTGCTGCCACAGGTGAAAGAGTGATGATATTTTTACCCTTGTGCATGTGCGTGTGATCATGTGTTAGTTTCTCTGTCATGTTAGCAAAATATTTCTCAGTGAACAGATTTGAATGAAACTCCCAGAAAGTAAACACCGAATGTAAAGCTACAACTGACAAACTTTTTGAGCTGACCACATTCAAAGGATTCAAAGTGTTTATTTTCATGTGCACAACTGGAAACATGTTTCCCTGAGCAACAAAATTCTTACTTTGCTGTCAACAACACAGCACTGAGCAGGAGACTTCAGCTGGCTTCAACCAGCTGTTCAAAAATATTTACATATCGGTAAGAAAAAAGACAGAAGAATATTTTTAAATGGTTGAAAACCAAAAGTACCAACAAAGTAACATGTGGAAAGTGTATTTAAGGTAATTATAACATGAATTAAGGCAAAAAGATGCAATCAAGTGTTTAAGAGTCTGATGGTGCTTGGAAAGAAGGAGTTCTTGAATCTGGAGGTCCTGCAGTTTTCTCTTCTGTACCTCTGACCTGAGAGTAGAAGTGTGAATCGTCCATGCTGGGGTTGGGTGGAGTCCTTCAGGGTGGAGGCAGCCTTCCTGTGGACTCTGCAGTGATAGATGCTCTGCAGAGAGGATGGTGGAGTCCTGGTAATTTTCTCACTGCTCTTCACCACTCTGCAGGTGTATCGTGGCTCAGTGGGACTAACCTGTTTAAATAAAGGTTGAATGCATTGCAGTACAGTAATGCTGCTGGACCAAACTGCAGCTGGTTAAGATGCTCTCCACCACACAGTTGTAAAAGTTACTGAGGATCTTAGGTGACATGCCAAACTTCCTCAACCTTCTTAGGAAGTACAGCCGCTGCTGAGCCTTCTTAAACAGCTGTGTGGCGTTCACAGTCCAGGTGAGATCTAGTCAAGGTGACTAATGTGGATGCCCAGGTATTTAAAGCTGCTCACCCTCTACCTCAAGCTCTCGAATGAACAGTGGTTGATGATGTCTCCTCTCCTTCCTTATGTCTACTATTAGCTCCTTTGTTTGGTTGGTGTTGAGGGTGAGGTTTTAAATTGTAAGGCCTTTACTTAATATTTTAGCATCACCTGTTAAAATCAACACTATCTGCCCATAAAGGTATCTCATGAACAGCTGGATAGAATTAGTGAAGCTCTCAAAGTCATCACTGTACACAACTTCAGTTCACCAACATTTGGGCTCAGTTCAAGATGCAACTTAAGTTAGGTCCTCTAGACGGTTTCTGTTTGTTGATGTTTCATCTTTCATCTAAAAGACTTCAGACCGAGGAGCCACAGCAAACTCAGTCTCATAAATAGCACCTTCGCATAGTGGATCAACCAATTTGATGGTGCTAAGATGGTTTCTGGAGTCCACACTCTCCCCTGACGACTCGTCTGAGGCAGCCATGGCCAAAGTGGTTCAAAACATCAAACAATTCAGAGATGGCCCACGCCCACTTCAGTGATTCCTGAAGTCTGACATGATACCGTAATCATGAAAAAATATTTGTATGTCATTCTAAACCAAAGTGCATAGCAAAATACTGACTTTCTTTATTAACCTTTATTTAATCAGGCAAATCCCACTGAGATCTCTTTTGCAAGGAAGGCCTCGGCCTGAAGGCAGCCTAACATGCATGTTTTTATACTGTGGGAGGAAACCAGAGTATCCGGAGAAAACCCACACAAGCACGAGAAGAACACGCAAACTCCACCCAGGTCCAACCGGGTATTGAACCCAAGACCTTCTTACTGTGAGGCAACTGTGCTAACCACTGAGCCGTTGTGCTGCCAATTATGCAGGTGCCACTTTGAGCATGCACATAAGTATTTGTAAAAAGGCCAATTGCTGTAAACATCTGTGATGGTTTTCATGACCATGAATCAATTGCTGTATCAAATGATTATTTATAAATAAAGCAAAATGGTTATTAAACGATTACACTGGAATATTTTGTCATGTAGGCAAGACTAATGAGATGTGTTTTGCTGTTTTTTTGGGGGGGGCTCTGCGTTCAAACCACAAAGATTGTCAGTGTTTTCCATACTACCTAAAGTTAAACAACTTACATTTGTTAAAAGACAACTTACAACTAAGAAAAGCTTGTGATTCAGTGACATATAATAAATGAACTGTCCTAGCATTCACTTGAGTAAATACTCAATACTCAACCTCGTTTTTGGTAATCACAACTTGGAAAGCAATCTTTTGTCGGTGCTGGACCCTGACCATTGACTTAAAAGTGTGGCTCCCTAAGCAAGGTCACCATTTTGGACGCAGAACTGTAACCATGACAACTAAAACAATGTAACTAAACTGGAATGTATTCATTGTTATAGACATCTGTTTGGAAACCATCATATTAACTTCAGATAAGACCACGGAGAAAAATGTGGTAAAGCAAGCCATAATTTTATTTTAAAGAAATTACTTCATGTTTGCGTATTTAGGGGGAAGGGTGGCGGGTCACGACCCAGCGGATTGATACTTAATATTTGTGGACAAGCTAAACGTAACCCATCTTGAAGCGACTCTATCTGAACACAAGCAAACAAAAAAACAATTTCGTACGAATAGAAAACCCCATTTATTGCGCAAAGTAGCGTCTTAAACTTAAAACAAGTCGAAAAATGAGAAGTAACTAGTTCCTAAGCGGAAGAATAACGCGGATGTATATTGCGGTTGTAGGCCACTCAGCTGATGTGAAGCTAACAGGGACAGGGGAGAAAAGAGGAGCTGGTGCACAGTCTGTTACAACTACAACACTGGAACAAATAGGTAACAACATTATACCAAACGTTGTTTTTTCACTGACATCTTACGCGACATTCTTTACAACTTTCAGAACTATTTAGTGTGGATTTATATTAGCAGAATTATGAGTCGACGATGTAAAAATATCTCGAACCCCGTTGTTGCTTTCCTGTTTTTTTGTGTCAAAAATGTATCACATAGGCCATTTCTTTTTTCCCTACTTAGCGTGGACATGCTAGCTGCTAGTTGAATAACCTGTTAATACTGATCTTCTAACATAATAATCATAAAAAATAATTTGTATGTCACAGCGAAGCTGTTGTTTGTGAGTCTCATTACCATCCTGTCGAGCTGGCAAAGCGCAAGCCAGTGACAACAAATTGATTAGCCCACCAAGGTTAGCTGTTCTCGTTTGACTTAACGTCGCTACGTGACTGCCCAGCGGTAGCAATTCTGTTGTGACAAGGTTAGTTGTTTTTGATGGCAGACACGCGTATTATTGGGTACCAAACATTTTTTTGGTCAGCTATTTTGCTTGCTAGCGAACCGTCATTGAAGATTCGTTGTTATGCTTGGCTAAGCTAGCATTAGCCTGCTAATTATTAACTGGCCTCGCTGCTTGTCAGTTGAACAAGTTGTCTGTTTTTTTATTTAATTGAGTCAACATAAGAACTGTACGTTTTGTTGACTTACTGTTCACCTGTTAACCCTTTTCTGTTAGGCTAACATTAGCTAAAGTCCAAGACTGTAGCTGGTGCAGTGACAGGGAGCCTTAGCAGGCCTCAACCCTCATATTTTGCTAACGTTGTCCAGTACACATTTAGATCGACGGAGAGTTGCTAAGAAAGTGTTACGATATCTGCATACGGTAGTCGTGTCAGGTTTGTAATCCCACCAAACCTCATAGAAGGTGGCGTTTTGTGACAGACACGTCTTTTTTGTTGTCTTAAAACTTGTCAGCCATACTTGTGTGTCATAATAGCCCGAATACCAACCGAGCTCGCGTTGGTTTACATGTAGCCTGATAGCTTTATTGCCTCAAATCGCTTTCGAAAGACCGTCCAGCCGATGCTACCATTTTCGACGTTAAGTTAATTTCAAGTAAACGCTACTACCCTTCTGAGGACACATCATTTGCTATATAGCGAGTACACACTCTCGTTTTGTGCCACGAACAACTTACAAACGAAGTAATTGTTTAAATCTAGCAGTTAGATAAGTGCACCAATAGACACCGGTATCATAACTACGCAGTTCTATACAACCCGTGCTAAATTTAGCCGACGTTAAGTTAGTCAATTCTTTGGATTTGATGTCATATTATTCTCGAAGTTGCAGTGTCCCATTCTTCGGGATGTTTGTTGGGTCTTTTTGTTAGCTGCTGTCAAAACGAATGGCATGGCTATGATACGAGTGGCTGAACATGCTAACGGTAGTCGGTGGTGGCAGACGACTACGTCAGAAATGCAGGCCTCTGGAAATCCTGGGTGCATAAACTAGACCCTGTTCTTCTTCGTGGGCTTGTAAAAGCGACACGGGGGTGAGCGTCTAAAACTGTCGATCGCCTGATGTCTTTTGTTCAGTCAGATGTCACGAAGTGGCGTACTGGTTGTCAGAATGGGTCGAATAACAAAGACCAGGATGCGGTGTCAGAGCAGGCCTATCGTGGCCCAGTAAAACTGAAGTGTGGCGTATTTTGGTGATCAATATCCATGATATCACAGATGATGTATGACCTAATGGATGTTTCTTTTCTATGAGCAAATGTTAGGTTGTGATTCTGTTATCTTTCTTTTTTGTTACAATAAATCAAATCATTGAACTAGAAGTGTTCAAACAATCTGTTTATCCTCATTAGGCTCTTAATGCCCTTGAGAATAACATATGAATTCAACTATAGCATGTAAATGACATTTTATTTATTTTGTATTAAAGTAGTCAGTGGATCATTAGCAATAAGCTGTCTTGGTCAGATTTGTTTTATACTTGTCGTGGTACTTGTACAGATTAATTTCACCCATTATGGCTCTTGGGTTTTACTGAATTGTATCCATCCTCTTAAAAAAAAAAAAAAATATATATATATATATATATATATATATATATATATAATGACCTGCCCTCAAATTTCATTCATGGCATTTACTACAGTTTTAGGAGTTTTTAATGTTAAGTGACATTTTTTACATTTTATTTTAATTCTAGTTGCAACCTTTGTCTCAGCTCTCTGACCTGATTCAGCTCACACATTATCTCACAGGTTCAGGTCGTGAGGTCAGATGTTGTTAATGCCTTGCACCCATTTTACATCTCGAGGGAATCAGTCATTGTGAACAACTGCACCCCAACTTTAGAATGCATTATCCTATTTTTTCACAGAGCTTATATTCAATTGGCATATTAAAAAAAATTCTAAAGACATTTATATTTTTACATTTTTGATAAGCAGGCATTTAGTTAGACACAGTGCTTTAAATTTTTTTTTGTTCTTTATTTTACTACTTACAAAGTGCTTTATACACAGATCTTAGGTCTTGTTACAAGGTGAAAACATTACAAAATTGTGAATAAAACTATGTCAAGCAAAATGCTTAATTAAATAGAAAACATTGTTAATGATGAGTTTTGATTTAATTGCTCTATTTAATTAAAAAGGCATGCAAGAAATTATTTCTCACAAGTTCAAGTTTAAAGGTAAATTTGTGGTTACTGTAATATTTATAAAAATATGTTGAGCCAAAAATGTTAATGCTGAAAACAAGCATGTACCATTTCATCTTGCCTAACAAATTAGGTCATAGGTTACTTGTTTGTAAAATAATTTGAATTCTTAACCCACAAAATTTAACTGTATTCATTTTAGGTTTTGTGGGAACTGACACAAGGCTTGTCTTTTAGGTCAAAGAATCTTCACTATCATTAGTAGGATCTGTTAGTTTGTGTATTTTCTGATAGTAATTGTGTACATCTGGATGGACAAAATTGTGGGTGGGTGGGGAATCCTTTATTTTGAGTTTGCTGTTATTTTTGATCAATGTTTTCTTGTGGCTTTTGTCTTTATTTTTAGTGAATGGTAGTGTCTAGAAAGGGTATGTCCCTTCAGGAGATAGGTGCCAATGTCCAACCGGCCTAATTCCAATCCAGGGGGGTCACTGCGCCGTTCACAGAGGAACACTGCTGCGGCCCAGCCACAAGACCACACGGCAGCTGGAAGGTGAGTTTACCTGCACATTTACTCCATACTTTAAAAAATACATTAAAACATAGTTCGCTTTTGTTAAAAAAGCAACCAATGACTTATATTGTTTAAATTGAGTTTTTACTTGGGTGGCCACCGTAGGAAATTTGATATAATGTTAAATAACCTTAAAAGTGTCTGTTTACAATTAAAATTAGTTCTGTTCATATGTAGAAGTTAACTCTTTTTTAGCAGTGTAATCCAATATAAAAGGTGGTAATGATAGTAATGCATATGCAGTAAAGAAAAATGATTTGGGAAGTAAATAAAGTCAATCCTTTGTGGCTTGATTACAGAAACCCACACTGTTCCTTGCTCTTAAATGCACAACCTTACAGCTTGCAATCAGAGCAGGTAAAACAAAGCAAATTCCCCACCTGAAAGTAGGTGACACAATTCTAAGGCTCCCAAAGCCGCAGCCAGATCAGCCACTCACTTGACATTCCAGAGGGCACAGCTCAAGAAAGGACCCGTATTTTCATTTAGATGCTTAATGTGTGTGTAGAGTTGAACTGCATTTATTTCAGTCATGTATCTACAGGTCTCTTGTTAACAAGTCATCGTGATTCAATGAGACTAGCCTGTATAGTTTTTTTTTTTTTTTTCCATTTACACTTTATTTATACAGGTAGTCTCATTGAGCCACAAGAATGAGACTACCTTTATAAATAAAGGGTAAATGAAAAAAAAAAACAGGCTAGTCTCATTGAGTCACGAGGACTCGTTAACAAGAGAGACCTGTTTAGATGAATGAATCTTGTTACACTTTTGGGTTTTGTTCCACGTTAAGTTAAATACAGTTAAATATTGTTCTCTGAACATTTCTAGTTTAACAAGTTTCCTAAAATCACATTTCCTGGTTTCTTTTGTTTCCTAACAGAAGTGGTCTTACTCTGTCAGTGGCTTCGTTTGTGCTGCAAGACGACCAAGAGGCTGCAGGAACATCTGAGCAGGAGACTCTTTTTGATAGGAGACAGTCAAAAAGTAAAGGCACCCGAGGACTTAAACGAGGTGAAGCACCTGACGAAATTAGTGTCCTTGGTCCGACCCCTACCAAGAAGCCTAAATCATCCCTCCCTGCACCCAGAAATAACTCCTCAGAGGCCAAGAAAGGTCCTGCCAAGACCAAGAAAAGACCAGTTGCTACAGAATCGTCTGCATCGTCAGGCCGAAGTCAAGGCAAAAAAAGTGTGGCCACTGGGGCCCCTTCACTCCAGAAACGGAAGAAATCGGACACACTCCCCGGTCTAAGTAGCACCGCTGGGTCCCTCCCCAATTGTACCGAGGGCAGAACTGCAAAAGCCACCAAGCTGGCGTCCAAATCTGCCGCCTCAGCCAAAGCTGGGTGTAGCAACGTGACAGACTCCTCCTCCTCTGCCTCCTCTTCTTCTTCCTCCACCACAGGCTCCAACAGCGCTGCCACACAGGGCGCCCGCGTCAAACAGGGAAAAGATCAGACCAAGGCACGTCGCTCTCGATCCGCTTCTAGCCCCTCCCCTCGCCGAAGTACACGTGACAAGGAGCAGGCCAAAACTCCCAGCTCATCAAAATTTGAGTGGGCAACACGCTTCAACACCAAAGTCAATTTGCCAAAACCGAAACTTTCCTTACCTGGATCCTCCAAAACTGAGCCCTCCAAGCCTGGGCCATCTGGATTGCAAGCTAAACTAGCAAGTAAGTGTTTTCCTTTTATATTACTTTTCTGCATTCGTATGGAGTGCATCGATATCATCATCAATCATAATTGATTAAATATGTCCATTTAAAAAACAAACTTTTTTTTTTTCTCTGACAATTACGTTACGGGATTAGTGCCCAGCTTCAGACCTCACTACAAACTGTTTGAAACTTGTGCAACCGTGTTTTTAACTGCTCCACAGACGAGAATATTCAAGCAAATGTACATTTTAGATTAACCTAATAAATAAACTTGATTTCAAATTTATTTCAAGTATAAACAGACAACACAAAAGTTTTACGAAGAGGTTATCTAGACATGAGTTTAAGTTCCACAATGATCATTTGTATAAATTAAGGTTGCACTATAAATGCAGTATTATTGTCAAATGTTGAGATGACAACATCAGTGGCAATAAACCCACATGTTCTGTTATATTCCATGACCTGGCAGTGCACATCTAGAGAAGTGGGGTTACATCTGATTGACAAATTTGGCTTTTTTAGCAAACAATTTGAGTCTGCAATTTGGAGAAAAAAAATTTTTAAAATAATGTGCACACTGAAATTGTGATATCAATAAAATCTGTACGACAAAGAAAAGGAGATTCTATTTACACTGAGCATAAAAATGATCAACTTTGCTAGTCAACCCAAGATTTCAGGTTCTACATTAGTTCACATTATATGCCAGGTGTGTTTGCATCAAATTGCTTTTCACAATTAGGAAGCAGAATTAAAAGCTGGCAAAAAAGTATAAACCTGTGCGTAGATGAACAGGCTTATCAATATAATGCCACATGATTAAAAGAAAATTAGTCCTGACAATTTAGATAAATGTGCTGAAGGTGTTGCCTGTTAACACTGTTACTCTTTCAGCCCCAGTCCTGGCTGCTTTAGAAATGCTTTTCACCAAATAAGACATGGAAGATCAAAGGTCATTTTCTATCGTTTAGTGTCTGAAGTGTTTCATTCATCCATTGAAATATGAATCGGTATTTGAAGCATTTTATTAAATTTATTTTAGTATGAACACGGACATGGTGGCGCCGAGGTTAGAGAAAGTGGGCCTGTGATCGGAAGGTCGCTGGTTCAACTCAAGGTTCTTTGTCATTCGCTTCACATGTGGCACATGAGGTGGAATGAAATTGTGTACTCATTGTCCCATTTACACCCAAAAATAGCAAAAATATAAAGTATAAAACAAAGACGGTATACAAGGATCTAAGGTAGATGATAAACAATAATAATGTAATACAATACGGTGTATTAAACAGCAGCTTGCACATGAGTCTGTTGTGAGCAGATGGGTATGAATACAGCAGCGTAAAGGCAAGAAATCGGCAGCACAGATTAAGTGACATCACCAATTAAAGTGGCATTACAGTGATTTTTCTGGTTAGGGATGTATGAGTAACAGCTTCAGGGTAGAAGCTGTTCCTCAGTCTAGTGAAGGGGTGCCCACACTTTTTCAGCATCCAAGCTACTTTTAAAATGACCAAGTCAAATTGATCTACCTACTATTAGGCCCCGTTTACATGAGAATAACCTCTGGAAATGTTAGTGTTTTTTCAATGTTTATTGGGGGATAATAAACAAAAATGAGCGGGTTTACACAAAAAATGCTGTAGTTTCCATGTCAATCAGGTTGCCAGATAAGAAATGATTAACTATACTGCTGTGGCTTTAAGATGATAGTATTTTGACCTAAACTGTCATGCGCTGAGTAAGGATATTCTAAGATGAGGTGTGTGTTGTTTGTTGAACATGTGCACAGAAAATAAGACATTTTAAATTTATCTGGCAACCCTGATGCAGGGCTCAGCTGCATTCATTGTGCATGCAGTGTCTGCATGACAGTTACTCCAAACTGATGAATATACTAGCGTCTGTTTGGACCCTGGATTTTATTAATTTTGATCCTACATGCTGAAAAGGCTGAGTAGCACAGAAAACACTTTGCTGTTTGCCATTTATTATAACTGTTGTTAGTGCAGAAAAACTTGGGACTGCAACCGCCTGTAGTGCACATGTGCGACTTCACACAAGGAGAATTTTGGGGTGGGGGGGTATCTTCACTCTTGAGACCTGATTTGAGAGAATGAGGACTGTGACTGGCTGCCCTGCATATCAATCAAGTGACAAATTTCATAGTAAGGATGGCGTCTATTCACTATCTGATGTCTTTTTTTAATGCCATGCGGTCTAACCATAAAGGTTTTGCGATCGACTGGTAGATCGCGATTGATGTATTGGGCACCCGTGGTCTAGTGGTTCTGCACTTAATGCTCTGCAACCTTCTGCCTGAGGGAAGTGGGACAAAACGTGGGTGCTGGGTGAGTGGAGTCCTTCATGATGCAGGTGGCTCTCTTCCTGCATCTGGAGGTGTGGATGTCTGTGATGGTGTGGAGACTGACTCCAACAGACTTCTGTGCAGCCTTCACCACTCTCTGCAAAGCTTTTCTTTCTGCAGCTGCACAGCCTCCATGCCACACATTGATGCTGGAGCACAGGATGCTCTCCACTGCACACCTGTAGAAGGAGGTGAGGACTGAGCTTCTCAGACCAGCTCATCTCAGCCGTCTGAGGAAATAGAGTCTCTGATGAGCTTTCTTGATCAGGCTGATGGTGATCCCTGGACTGACAACATCACAATGTGGATGGGAAAGGTGGAAGCACCTACACCTGCCTCCACCCTCATTTGCCCCACTCTGGGCCCTTGAACAAGGCCCTTAACCCCCACCATCTGATCCCCCGGGTGCCCTAGATGGCTCCACACAGAGGGATGTGGTAGCTCAGTGGTCTGTGGTTGTATCAAGGACATCCGGCATAAAAATAATTGCCACGCCTTTGTGCGATTTAGTTCGCTGTGATGACCAAGGGAGCAGCTGAAAGAAAAATAACTATATTATTATTATTAGTATTATTAACATGTTGACACAGTTTGTTGCAGTATGGGGAGTCTAGTTCACCTTGCTGTCATCCACTTGGTAAAATCTAAGCAAAAGCAAGTCTTTACAGTTGGGGTAATAATTTCCATCCATCCATTATCGTTACCTGCTTCTTCCTTTTTGGGTCACGGGGGTCACCGGTGCCCATGTCTAGCAATCACTGTGTGAGAGGTAGGGGACACCCTGGACAGGTTACAAGTCCATCACAAGGACACATGGAGACAAATGAGACAAACAACCATTCACTCTCTCACTCACACCTAGGGACAATTCAAAGTTACCAATCAGCCTACCATGCATGTTTTTGGTCTGTGGGAGGAAACTGGAGTACGTGGAGAAAACACAGGCATGCACGGAGAGAACTGTGGAGATCAGCTGATCTCCATGCACAGCAGAGATCAGCTCATCAGTCGCAGGAGGAATCTTCTTCCACAGCTGTGGGCTGCACACAGGTCCTAAATAATTTTAAATAATTAATTTTAAATAAAAAAAATACATGCTGATTGTATGCTCATTCATCAGTCAGCCATTGTGTGTCATGTCCAATCTTACTTTGAAAAACCACAATAGAGGGAGTCTGCGAAAAACGAGCCGCGAGGTAGCGAGGGACTACTGTACTTTGATTTTTTCTTTTTCACATTATCTTTGTTTTCACATTAAAATAATAAAATAGCTGAAATTCATTCCTAACATAGTTATGACACAAATATTAATTTCTGTCATTTCTCTTCAACCCCTTGTATCTCCCAATAATCTTAGGATATCTGCAATTAGCTAGCTTAAGATCACTTGTACTGTAACTAATCTTTGTCTGTTTTCTTGTAACGAATACTTGAAATATTGTTCAATTTGTTGCCCACAGTATTTTTCCACAATTCATCCCACCGCTCAAGGTAAACCTAAATTATTATTTATGCAAAAAAATAAAAATAAAAGTGCACAAGCAGGCATTTTATGTTCACTGAGATGTCCTTCAAGAAGATCTAACAAGGTTGAGTCAGGTCCTCTGGATGGCTTCTTTGTTAAAACGTGACTCAGTCTTGTTAGATTTGTCTACCTGGATTATTGCGCATGCTTCAAGACACCCCCAAGAAGATGTTCCTCCATGTAAATGAGTTGTGTTTGAGAGAGACTTTTTTAATAACTTGTAAGGAGGGGGTTCCTTTACATGTCTTAACATAACCTGCTGATCAGTATTAAATTACTGTACAGATAAACCCAGATGTGAAGTGAATCAGTATTGTGCAACTGAAAGCCCCAAGTCAAACGTAAAGTCTTACATTAATCCTGCCTTGTAGTACATCCCCTTCCTAAACTGGGTCAGATCTCAATTGAGCACAACAGGCTTGAAACTAAAGAACAGATAAATACACAAATGCTGACAATTACTTGATCATAATGATGGGACAAACATATTCTTGAGATGTATTCAAATTTATTGTTAGCAACCATGAAGCAAATCAAATCCACGCTATACCTAGTCCCACACTAGGTTTATAAGTGATGCACTGGCCATAAAAACAGTCTTCCTAAAGTGTTTTCGCATTTTCTATCCTCTACTATTCACCATAAAGTTACCAAATGTGTTACAAAAATATAAATTAAACAAAGAAACTCCCTTCTCCAGAGTGTTTCTCCTAGGTCACTTGCCTTGGCAGGTCGCTCGTCTCTACGAGGATTTTTGTCGATGTGGGGGGAGGGGGGTGAGAGAAGCAGAGCACTACATCTGTAGCTTTTTAGCTAGCGTGTGTATTGCGTGCGTTAAGCTCGGCGCTACGTCTGTGCCGGCATTTGTCGAGGGGGTGTTTGTGAGGTAGGCAGGGGCTCTTGGTTCTGTTGACAGGGCGGGGTACACTCCTTGTATAATGGTAGGGAAAACACTGCTTCCTTGTTCATTGTCTAAACAATCAGTCACATATGGTGAAGGATTAATTAGTATTGACCGCATCAGTGTTTTTTTTTGTTTGTTTTTTTGTGCAGAAAAGTTAAGATTTCAGACAAACAATGCATTTCATTGAGGTTGACAAAGATAACGATACTAACACT